CCCATTTCGAAGCATGGCTCTACCACCTATCATATACCATGGTTGTACCTATCAACTATCACCTATCAACAGCCTTTAATATTCCATTTCTGGACACAGTGGTGGTTTAAGCGGTCACCACGAGCCGCTTTCTACTGCGCTGAGTGTTGTGGATTCGATCGCAACATGGAACCATCCATGGTTCACGGTATGTGATCCACAAATTATTGTTTTGAGTCTGGGTGTTCGTCGTGTCCGTTTCATGTATGTTTGTTAAGTCCCCCGCGACACAGGATATATTCCTAATGTAGAAGTCGTCTTTAATTATTTTTTTAAACAAATTTTAAGTCAAAACTATTTAAGAAAAACCTTCATGCCCAAATAAGTTTTTCTCAAACAGATGACGTAGTGGTAAGTTTCTTCAAAATCACAATTTATTATTGAGCAATTTCAGAATAGTGTTTAGACTTTCTTATTAAATATAATCGCCTAAGTTATATCTAACCAGTACAAAAATAAGCGGCACAGTGATCCGTCTCCATCGAACTAATCCCCGCACACACGAGTGTCTGACAACATCTAATCTTAGCACCCCTGATGTCTCATATTTCCTTTATCACAATGGACCTTAATCCATCATAGACATTAATAAATATATATGGCACGTTACTGTGCTGCAGACTACCCCAATATTCTCTTTGAGGGATCACAGTTGCTGGTATAATGGAATAATCTTTTGTGTTCGTTGATCGTGTAAATGTATCTATTATACATAGTGTCCTGGTGGCAAATGGAATATTAGTTTTAAACACCTTTGGTGTTTGACATTCAATTTAATAAAAAAATAAAAGCTATAATATCTGAAAATTGAAACGGTCACAACTTTTGAACGGATATATTTTTTATACCGACTCATACCGACTGACGCAGGTGATCCCTGGGAAAGGATGTTTCGGGGATCATCTATGTCTGATCTGCAAGGAGCCAACGCCTGAGTGCCACCACTGCGATGGCCAGACCGTGGACACGGATCTCCACACGCTGGCAGAGTGCCCGGCGTGGGTTGAGCAGAGGCGAGACCTCGTGGTGGCCATCGGAGTGGGAGTTCTCTCGCTCGATAGCCTGATTGCGGCTATCGTGCGGAGCGTGAGTGCGTGGAACTCTGCCGTCTCCTTCTACGAGCAAGTTATGCTCGCGAAGGAGACGCCGGAGCGGGACCGGGAGAAGTTTAGAACTCTCCCGGCCCGCCAGGCCCGGGAACGGGCCAGGTACAGCAGGCGACTCAGGCGCCGGAGGTCGCAGAATGACCTCCGTCCTGTATAAGCGCAGGCCTGGGGGTGACAGGTGAGGCCATCTGTCACCCTAGCAGAAGCAGGCCGGGGTGGCGGCTGCAACGCGCTCGCTTTCAGGGAGCAAATTGAACATGGGGTTCCCACACGGGGAGGGGGGGTCGTCTACTAGTCTGTAAATGGCCCGAGGTATGTCCCGGGCACCAGGGACTTCCTTTCTAGGGTATACTTGGTTCCCCGGCTATTAGTACCCGAGACGGCGTGCGGTTTTAGTCGGTCCGAGTCCGACATGTCACCGGTTGCCATCCTTTCATGCCACCATTCGGTGGTATCCGTGGTATATATATGTTACCATATTCATTTAATCAAAACATTTATCCGCCAAACTGTGTGAAAGCATTTTGTACTGCCTCCTGGGAAGATTTTTTTTATCACGTAGAAAATTGTCCAATTCACGAAAAAAATAGTAGTCCGTTGTAGCAAAGTCTAGCGAGTACTAAGGATGACGTGTAGTTTCTAACTGCAGCTCTTGTAGAGTTACAAAGATTTCTCGTGCAGTGTGAGGTCTTGCGTTATCATGGAGAAATAATAGTGAAGATCAATTCACGCGTCGCGGCTGTTTCACTGCCAGTTTCGGCATCATTGTTCGAAGTTCGGCACAGTAAACATCTGCTGTTGTTGGCTGACCAGATCAAAGAAATCTATAGTGAATAACACCATGAAGAGACCACCAAAGAGTTACCGTTACCTTTTTATTATAAAGCTTTGCTTTAGGCCACTGTTATCTGGCCAAAAACAAAGCTTTATTTTTTGCTCACAGTTATCGTAAACAATCCACTTTTGTCATATGTCACAATTCGATCTAAAATTTCTTTATTTCTGTACCGATTCATCAAGGCAACACAAGTTTCAACGCGCATTTTTTTCTGCAGATCAGTTAAATCGTAAGGCAGCTATTTTTAATATTATTTTATCTTATTGATTTGATGCAAATGAGTAAATATTGTAGGTAGGGTAACGTTAAACCATGGCGCTAATTCCTGGGTAGTTTGACTCGGATCGGCTTCTACCATCTCTGTCAATTCAGCGTTATTCACCTGTGTTATGTCAGTACATAACACACAGGTGAATATGCGTTCATTAGCAGTCTCCTCTCCAAACGCAGCGTTGATATTGCGTGCTGTTTCTGCCGCATTAGTTCCTCGTCGGACCTCGTATTTAAAAATGACTCGAATTTTCGAGGTATTCATCTTTCACGTCTAAGCTGAATAAAAAAGACAATTGAAAGTCAAAAATCGAATGTTGAACATTTTTAATTGAAGAACCTCATAGGTATCGTGTGAAAAACAGTCACACCGTGAAGGTTTTATGTCAATTCAAAGTATCTATTACTATACCACGGAAATTTAATACTTTAACCCCTATTATATAGGTAGATACAATTCTATTGAATAACAAGAAACATATCAAAGTAATACTGTTCCTTCTTAGGAAAACATTCCATTTCTTTTATCGGTTTTACTTTGTTACAAAATAATATGCTAAAAAACGATCTGAATATTGAGTGAGTTTATTCAATATTCCATTTCTGTCTCGATTAAATTACCGAGACTGGGAAAAATAATGGTATTCATAAGGAATGCTTATTGAACAAAACAACAGAAAACGACGACAGTTGATAGGCACATTGGACGAGTACACAATAAATAAATTTAAGAAAACATCGTATTACTTTTTGAATACTAATGAAGATGCAAAGAAGCTCGATTCGTCTTATTGATAGTGATAATTTCAATGTATGGTCTAAAGGACTAAAAGATCAGAAAAGTTGAATAACTATCAAAGTTATTTAAGGAAATCGACAAGTTTGGGAAATGAGAACCCAGTAAGGGTGAAGATTAATTACTTTTGATGGCAAAAATGATGGATGGATTCAAATAAAAGTAACTGTTGGGTGAAGATATGGTTTCGTACTGTAACTATACGTAATAATGTATAGATATACGATAGAAAAAAATACTTCTGAAACGGACATAACCGCTCGCACAGACAATTTGAAAATGATTAAATAAACTGGCACTACAGTTCACAAGAAAGACGGTTTCGCTAATGCCGTCGGGTGTTTTGTATCTTTGTATGTTATAATTTTTGATAAAGTAACTAAGCGCTTTAATAGCCGTTGTGGATTTGGGCGTTATCGCCGAATGCTTGATGCAGTCATATTGTACGGATGGTACCAACTAAAGTCTGAAAAACCTGAAAGCCTAACACGAAATAACACAAAGCTTTGGTCTTTTTCTTTTATAGTTTTTTACCTCTTCTGCTACTAAGGTTGACTGAAGCGCATATTCATCGTGCTAATTAACAATCAAGCAACTTTATGACTCTGTTAATACCTTTATTATGTTCATAAACTACTCGAACATAACCTGCTAAGTAGCTAATCATAGCTACTTTAATAGTTAGTTTAAGATTTGATGTATATCAATACATTAAATCTGAAACTTGTAAGTTTAAGATTTAATGTATTACTCGTATTTCATATTAAAACTGCCAACTTCTATTCTTCTCGTTTAGCAGTATAAAATGCAATAAGATTAGCAGTATCTTAGCGAAAAGGCCGAGAAGCAAACTTTATCCCTCAATTTTGTCAACTTCCTACAATTTTTTTTTATTATCGTAAACGAGCTCTGAAGTTCTAAACTATGAGTAAATGTAGATATGTGAAATAAGTAAATTGACCCTAACCTTTGACAGCTGATTGCGTAAAAAGTTTAATTTTCCGGCAGAAAATACCAATGACTCGACTAAGAATGATGGTCTGAATACACTATTTCAGTATTCGTTACGACGTCCCTTACACCCAGTATAATAATCAGGTACTAATTAATGAGAGAGTTACTTACAATTCATCTTAGAATTATAATCCGCTATTAGAAGTTTTTCGCTAAGATGTAGATTTCTAATTTTGGTTTAGCTAAATTAGTCACTTTAACAACATGTCATTACATGGTACATGAACCCCAATGTTCAGGACCACTAGCTATACTATATTTGTACTATACTATATATGTATTTCGGTATAAATAAACTCCGGCCAATGAGCTTATGCGTACATCTATCTCACTTACTCAATCAATACCATACAGCAATGTAGATTTTCCTATTTTAAGCTAGGCATAGACAAACCTCCTTTCAAATGAGAGGTCTATGTCCAGCAGTAGACATTATAAAAAACTTGCTTAGCCGAACTCTTTAGGTTTGTCTACGCCTGGTTTAAAAAATGAACATTGTTGATACAGTAATAGCATACCGTGACTTACTGGTAGCTAGTGCCGTAGTAGTAGAAGCTACTCTCATACTAGTACTCAGTACCTAATACCGACTAGTAGCTAGTGATAACTAGCACTCGTATACTTAGATTAAGGTTAAAGCATACCTAGAAAAATATGCTCAATCACAGTGAGGTAACTACTGAAGAAATTAATTGAAAAAAGCATTAATTCTTTATTATATTTATTTTATAATACTCTTTGAGTACTTCCAGTGTTTATAACCCTAGCACTAAATGCTCAGTACATCGTCGAACTAATTACAATCAAAATGATGCATTGTAGCCTTTTGCTATTTCCATTCTGATTTTTGCCTATTTAATAAAAAAAATAGACAAAGTCATATTAAAACAAAGAAATGTTCTTCAAAAACTGTTATATAACTCCCAGGTGTCTGATTCTAGAGGCCAATGTCCTTGACACGAGCTAGTGATGGCAGCGCCTGCCGCCACATTGCGGCAAAACTATTCGGACTTACCTGGTTAGGCGTCGCTGTTTCCGTCGTCATGTCGACTTCCACCGACGCCAATCTACTCCTCTTCTTTCTTTTCTGACATGTACAACAGTCTGTAAACGATGACAGTGTAAAACCACGCTTCAATCAAATCGTCATACCGAAATATCGATTTTTCAAAGTCTCATCACTCGCGTTTTAAGTCAAAAGAAAGTCTTCACTTGCATTCTCGTTAAAACAAATTTAAAAATAATAAAATCTAGTATCGATTACGTTCTATATTTTAATTGTAACGCGCGGCTCGCGCTCCGCCATTTTCCTTCCGTATTTGAATCACGTGAAAAATTGATCGCACTTAGACTACTTGTTTTTTGAAAATTGCATTTAAATTAAAACACTAAGCCACAACGAAAGCTCAAATTAAAAACTGCAATAGGATATTAAATAAATACGTTTTAAACCGACTCAAATAATAGTTCTCGTGCGAGTTGTTGCGTTTGGTAGCTCACCGCAGGGGTGTAGAAGAATTTGCCGGCTTTGGACGACAAGTGAGTTGGGTGGGGTGGCGAGATCTCACTGCGACTGCGCGGGGGCGGTTTAGTGTGTGCGTAATTTGCGTGTATCAAAACCATGTTTTCTTGATCTCTTCATCCCCCTCTGTTTTTGTAGACCTGTGTAGAGCCAGGGGTGTCAATTCCTGGTAGCGGAGGTCTGTGTTAATTGGTTGTTTTATATGTATTGATACAATCAATAATGTAGACTCAGATGTTGGGAAATATCAGACAGAGAGGGGCCTATAAAGAGCTACAGAATCGCGTAGGCAGACTATGCCGTTTGCTAGGGAGCCAATGATAAACACTTAGACTCGAAACAAGGTATCCTACGCCTATGTTAGTTTAACTATATTATTATTATTCTCTTTATTTATTTTATAAACATATTAATTATATTTTAAACACTGTAAACACATATTTAAAAATAGTAACTAGGACTAGTACTAAAAATAGTAACTAGTATAGTAAAAATAGGACCACCGACATCGGGTACAGAGACCAAGATTTCGGTGGTTAGGACTCCAAAGATAGGAACCTCCTCACTATACGGGCAGTATCAAGGAGGACTGCCTTCTGCATAGGACCCTTGATCCAACCGTCTAACGTGAGCCTCTTAAATTGTTGGTGGAGGCTCTTGGCTATCAATCTGTAACAGATACGACTATCGGAACAATGATCACTGAATCGACATTCAACTTATCAAGAATCTCGTGAGATAAATCCAAATATTATATTTGTTTTTCTTTTTCAACTTTCACGAGATTCTCGTCATGAGGAACGGCGATATCAACAATCACTGCGCGGCGCTCTAATCGATCTATTACCACAATACCTGGCTTATTGAGAACAATAGTGCTGTCTGTGATAATAGATCGATCCCAATACCACGTGGAAATAATAATACGTTATGATTATTATTATTATTGCCTCTTTATTTCCAAATTGAATAAATTACAAAACAAATATAAATATTTCATGAATTATAAGTACACTTTAAGTGCATGCAGGAATTAATAAAATGTTAGGGCTAATTTAATGAGTATTACAATACAGTAGCATGATAAATAATTTCATTATAAATAAGTAAGTAAGAAAATAAACTAACATTATATTAAATAAATTTTCTAAACATTAAATGACTTTAATTTTTAAATCAAATTCATATGGACCCTTCAACGGATAAAGGCCTCCTCCATTTTGTTTTACGTCTGTCTCTCGTTTGCTTTTGTCAACCAGTTTTTACCAGCTTTTCTTACAAATTAATCAACCCATTTTTCTCTCGGTCTACGTCTTTTCCTTTTGTTTGTTGTTCCCTGCCAGGTTGTTACTCTCAGTGTCCACTTTTCCTTGTCCACTTTGGTTTTGGTTTTTTTCCATTTCCAATTTTGGTTTTTGACAGTGTTCCAAAGTGTTCTTATTTCTGTGTTTCTTTTTCTATGTTTTATTTGTATGTTTAGTATACTCCATTCCATCGCCCTCTGGCACACTTGTATTTTGTTTTTAGTGTTATTATTGTAATAATAATAATAATAAAGTTTATTTCTCCTCACCATATACATTTAACTTCATGGTACAATTCTATTTAGGGTTGTGGTTTCATCAATTTCTGTATATGTGAGGAACTGGTGTCTGACATAGGCATAAGCCTGTCCTACAGATCACCAGGTCCCCATGTATTGTATATCCATGTTTGGCAGCCATACGTAAGACAAAATAGTATACTTGAGTCCATAATTTTTTCTTTAGTTTCATGGGGAGTTTCGATTTTAGGGATTCTTTGTTGCTCCAGAATTTGTTCCAGGTTATGTTAACCCGTCTTTTAATTTTATATTCGTGTCTGGTCTTACAGAAGGATACTTGCTGGCCCAGATAAATATAACATTGAACATACTCCAATGTATTCTTATTGACCCTTATTGGTATAATATGGTAGTTCGTCATGACTTTAGTCTTAGAAGCATTTAGTTCTAGGCCGATCGTATTGCTTACGTCATATATTTCCTTAATCAGTTTTTGTAATTGGAATGCTGTTTCAGAGAAGTGGGCGATGTCATCTGCAAATCGAAGGTCACTAAGGAGTTTCCCATTTATTCCTCTTCTTTCCCAGATCAGGGTTTTCATTATACTTTGGAGTACAGCTATAAAGATTCTATACCGAATAGTTGAGGTAGTTTAACTATATTACTTTAATTTTTTTTATCTAAAAATAGATTACCTAAATCCAGTAATTTACCTTACCAGTAATTACTTAAATCCTTTGAGTTGTGAAGAAAATTTATGTTTTATTGTGATTGGATTTAAAATCATTGTCGTTTGTCTTATTTTCGTTTTGTTTCATGTCTGAATATTGCAATTGTCCACCAAGTTCACTCTTAGTTTCTTATTTATTTATATTCCTTTAAAAAAAAGAATATTGATAATAGCACCTAGCCTATGATATTACATACAATCAAGAGATAGGTACGTCACCAACGCACAAAACGCGAGGGTCCCAATTATGACCACTGCTAGCGAGCGCACATAATAATTAATTCGAGGAAACTCATAAAATGTCTTCCTGTGTATTCCGAAAGTGCACAAATGACAACAATAAGGTAAATATCATACCACAGGTAAGTGTATGTTTTGTTCTAAAATGCATTAATTTGTACTAAGGAACAAATATTTTGTGTGTGCAGAATGAATGTAACCTATATGCCTTAAATATTATTGCACCTAGCCGTATTCCATTTAAATCGAAAGTTACTCACATTTCACGTAACCTAGCAGAATAATTTTAATAGTTTTACATTATGTAATATAATTTATTCCATTTCTTTTACACGTTTTTCCACCTCGCCCTTATTCGTAAATAATGCAATCGCTGATGTCTGCTAATAATATAAAAAAATGCAAGTTATTAGATAATAAATTGTTTTTTTTTTATCATAATAAAAGCCCCCCGGCCGCCATCTTGTGTTAGTTTGCGTAGACTGTTTGCACGGAATACAAATATAGTTATTACTTGGTGCGGCCCGCCATGCATGATTACCTTTCCTGCACCCGTTCCTCCACAAGCTGATTGCAAAAACGTTTAATTTTCCGGCAGAAAATACCAATGACTCGACTAAGAATGAGGGTATGAATACACTATTTCAGTATTCGTTACGACGACGTCCCTTACAGTCTTTACCTCCCGTGCTGGTTATAAGACTGTGTAACAGCAAGGTAAATAATTAATAATGATATTTTAAGGCAAGGTTAATATTTATATGTAGGAGTGCAAAATGTATTTTTTCTTAACAAAAAGTGCTGACTTTAAAATTTTATAAAACGAATGTACATAAAACTAAAGAGATCAAATACATAATATATTTCTGGTTTTAGGGTTTTCTGGTTTTTCAAAAGACAACTCCCTCACTAAGAAAATATTCTGTGTCGCGGGGGACTTTACAGACATATACAAACTAGTAGCATCCATTGCTAGTATAGTATAGTACGGGAGATGCCCTTTACATCGGCCGCCCCCATATTTATCGCGAAAACGTCATGAGAGTCGAAAAAAACTTGTGTCTGAAATTAGTTGTTAGCTGTAACTATTGCTGTAACTATTGGTCGCGGATCTATCACTAACACTCGTAGATGTGATTGGTGGAATGATAGATTAGCCGAACTACGTAGAAGCTACCGGAAAGCTCGTAGAAAATTAAACACTATTAAAAAACATAACGTAACAGGAGATTTGTACAACAATGCTCTCATTGCTCTTAGAGTTGCCAGGTCCCACTACAGAGCTGCTGTGGAAAAATCCAAGGGAAACTTAATTCAGAAACTTGTTGATAAACTCGATAGAGAGGGCCCGTGGTCACCTTTGTATCACGAATTTAAGGCAAATAGATCAATCGACCTTGCATACATACAGAACATCAAAATTAATAACAGATATACCACAGGAGTAGAACAAACAGCAGAATATCTTTTAGACTCACTCGTACCTGACGATCGACCGGAAAGCGACACTGATCATCACCGACAGATCAGGCAGTGGGCCATCGAACCACCACTGTCTCCAATGTCTGATTTACCATCTTCAGACGAATTTCTCGGTATCATTAGATCCTTGCCGCTAAACAAGGCTTCGGGCGATGATAAAATATCTAACAAAATGATAAAAGAAGCTTGTAAACTTTCGGGTGACACGATTTTCACTGTCTTTAAACATTGCATTGCTGAAGGAATATTTCCTCGTATATGGCGGTGCGGTAATATTCGTATAATACCAAAAAGTGGCGACAAGCCACCGGATGATCCTAAATCCTACCGACCAATCACATTGTTACCATCGTTAGGAAAGCTTTTAGAACGTCTTGTAGTGCCCCGGCTTCTGCCAGGTGGAGTCAAATTTCATGATAGACAATTTGGATTTACGTTGGGTAAATCGACAACTGACGCTGTTATATCGGTTAGAAAGTTTGTCACAGGGTCAAAATTTCAATACGTGCTGGCTATTTTCTTAAATATATCTGGCGACTTCGACAACGCATGGTGGCCCATGCTGTTGCTGAAATTAAAATCACGGGGGTGTTTTAAAAATATTTATTCCCTTATCTCTTCGTACTTTTCACAAGGTACAACTAAACTAAGACTTGGTCATCATTCTGTGTCGAAGGCGCTTACAATGGGATGTCCTCAGGGATCGGTGCTAGGTCCATACTTGTGGAATATCGGCTTCGACGATTTTCTTGCGATACCAATACCATCCGGATGTACTCTGAACGCGTATGCTGTAACAGTTATTTTTTTAGTATATTTGTATTGCGTACGGACTTGTTAACAGCGACACCTATTGCCCTAGTCGCATTTTGTTTGATTTATCCAAAGTAGTTTGTAGCTACAGTATTGATGTTCTTCGTTCGCCGTCGGACCACTAGATGGCGTTTGTTTGTAGATAATTCATTTTATTAATTTATCATGACAAATTGTATAGGAGTTGGAAGTGTTCTGTTATGGTAGGAAGCGAGTTACTTTTGATTTTGTTCGTGTTGACTTCGTTGATAATTTAAATGTCAAATTGAAATGTTAAGTAGGGATTATTTCTG